AGCAACACACCAACTCCCTGCCATTGTCCAACAGCTAGTCACACTGTTGAGATGCTGCCCCTTGGTTTTTTACTTCTACCGATTTTGGCTAATTAACGATAATCCCTCCCCTTCATTAACAGTCATTATTCTCCAGACTTGCATGAGTGTGGAGTTTATCCAACTGGGTGTTTCCATTTGTTCCTAAGATTCAATTGTCCTTGTTTTCCCACCCTTTTTGAACATGCAAAGAATGCACATATTGAGCTTGATGCGGAAAAGTTTACTAGTACTGTTTCTGCCATTCAGAATTCGGCCTTTGTTTTAAATGCTTCATCCTGCGAATATAATGGTGGATGTTTTGGCTATTCTGGCCTGTGTATTCAGATTGACTTAAGAGTTTGACATGCAGGATTATGTTTCAATGATATGAAAGACTTTATCAGCAAGCAATAGCTGCCGTATTCTTAAAATGATCTTGCATTTCTACTATTATGCTCTTATATTGTGTTCATGTTTTTGAAAGCTGCATTCATTTGATCAAAAATACAGTACAAAATGTGAAATATTATTCCAAAATTAGAGTAGCTGTTGTTTTCGTAATAATAGTGTAAAGTGTCATTTATTCTTATACTGGCTAACGCCAGACCACATGTTCATTTTCTCGTATTTGAGGCGTGGTTCACGAATGCCCAAAGCCGTATTATTTGGGTGCTACAAATGTCTATCAAATGCGCCTGTGCTTCCTCCCCATTCTGTGATTGTTTCCCTATTTCGGGGAAAAATTTGGTTCATTGGTGTCCAGGCTTCCTAGCAGCGTGAATAAAATCGTCCTGCAGCAAGGCAGCATGGGAAAACCCAGGCTAATTTATTCCTGTGATAAAAAGTTTTCAGCATCATTACTCCAGTCTTCAGTTTCACACGGTCCTTTAGGAATCATTCTAATATGCTAATTTGCTGCTCAAGAAACATTGATTACCAACAATGCTTTGCCACAGTCTGCCAGCATTGAGTTTGTGACTTAGATTGCAACTCACTTCCCTGACTATGTTCATTGTGGTCTGTAGATGCACACGAACAAGCGTCACAAGACTTCTGGAAACGGATTATTTCAATGCAATGAAGGGATTTAAAAGCCCTTCACACAACAAGTAGGGCAGCACAATGATGGTTAAACTGATAGTCATTATTATTCTCATTTGAGACATTTCTTTTATCCAAGTTATGGGACTTTCATGTGAACACAAAAATCAAAAGAACATTTACACATATGCAGGGTCTATTCACCAGAAATACTCCAAGTCATAATTCCAAGAAACTCACAATTGTGAAAGAAGTCACAATTACCATCATATTATTCCTTGGCAAAATAATCTGCGAGAAAAAGTCTGCACCCTGCTACTGTATATAAAATATTGAGCTTTACAGAAGCATAGGAACCCAGGTTTGCAACTGGAGCTTGCCTAGAAGTTCAGTGAAATGGCTTAGGCAGAAGTTTGGCTTGTTTAGTTCAAACCAAGCACCAATCAGAATGAACAACCTTGCTAAAGCACAAATGGAACTTTAGTTGTGTGGCCCAGTAAATAAAACCAAGAACAGTCACGCAAGAGCCGACTCATTGAACATCAACACCAATTTATTAAATCTAAATTGACATGACCAGGTTAACTTCTCCACTAGACACCACAGTTTGCCCACTAGAGATGGTCTTGATGGGAGTGTCCCTTCCTGTAAGAGAAGTGGTAGAAGCATGAGGAGCACTTAAAAACCAAATTCCCACGGTTCCCAAGTCGGTTTACAGCAAGCACTCACTTTTCCTAGTGCAGCTTTGCTCACAGGAGCCAGAAGAGGGATGGCACACTGCTGTACTACAGTGGATGAAGATCTAACAGAGGGAGAAAAGGTTTAGCCATAGAATTCACTATAAAAAGCACTAATAATAAGGGTTGAGGTAAGGCTGCGGAGCATACTGTTTCCTGCAGAGGAGCCAGTGACGATGGATCAACAAATGTGAACATCTTCACAATAAAGCGCTTGTAGTGGGTTGGGAACTGAAGACCAGACGATCCAGTCACTGGAACCAATGTGGTCAGGTAACGATCATCCTGGTAAGGGCATCTGAAAGGAAAAGAGGGAATCAGAAACGCCTTACAGCACACTAGATGGACAAAGACTGGCCTTACTCACCCATCAACCAGAAGGTCCCACTGGGGTAGACTGAGTGGACTGGGGGTTGACGTCGCCCAGCAATGTCCCAGCATCAGGACAATGTTGGGGTCGGTCCTCTCCATAACGTGCACCTCAACATACACAGGCTCCCGCAGGACTTTTGTAACAGGATAATCAGCATCACTGTAGTAGGAAGTGTACGCCTCGTCCCCTGAGGAAGAACAGTGTTTAACCAGAAACCACTGCAACCTGGAGCTTTGGAAAAGCTTTAGGCACACACTTGGGTCAAATACTTACCTTCTGCACAGCCTTTGGTGACACACTGACCATTTGCTAGCCTAAGCTCCACCCTGAGGGGTCCAGGAGCAGCTACTGGTGGAGGTGGAGGAACAGTGTTGACCTCCACAACCAGAGCTTCCACAGAAGTACCAGAGTACCTACACTGGAAGAGAAGCCTGGAAAACAAACAGTGAGCTTGTAGCATTTGCCAAGGATTAACAAACCTGCTGAAGCATACGTCACCCACTCAAAATGGCTGTCCCTTGTGATGGAACCAAGTGGTCCGATACCCACTTCATACGAGGAGGTCATTCTGTTTTCATACACCACATATCCACTGTCCTCCTGCAAATAGTAACACTGTTGGCATCCAGTCCACTTTAAGCCATGCAGAACAAAACCACAAGCAGCTACTCACCATCATGCTCGTGCCGCACGCAGTGACAGGGAACTGGTATATAGCAAAGAAAGGCGTGGATCCCACAGGACTGCAAGCTGGATCATCTCCACCCAGGAGACGGACTGAATCCAGGCTCAAACGAGGCAGCGTGACATCTCTAGCCACCACGACCACAAACTGACCATCTCTTATACACTGGACAGTCACTGGAACAAGGTACAAGAGCTGGTTATTGATGAGGATCAGTTTAACAAGAAACACCTTTACATTGACTCAACACTCTTACCAGCCTTCCCATAGTAACACTGCTGTCCGTTAAAGCAGCAGTTAATAGCTGCACACTCAGCACCACTGATACCAGGTGGTCCACACTGGATCTGCTCATAATCAGCAACAGCACATTTGTCAACGGGCTCTGCCTTTCCCACTGGCTGTTTCGGCTGAAACTGCTGAGGAAACGGTTGACTAGCTTGAACTGACTGAGGAAACTGTTGACTAGTCTGTTGAACAGACTGAGAAAACTGTTGACTAGCTTGCTGTTGAACAGACTGAGGGAACTGTTGACTAGCTTGCTGTTGAACAGACTGAGGGAACTGTTGACTAGCTTGCTGTTGAACTGGCTTAGAAAACTGTTGACTAGCTTGCTGTTGAACTGGCTTAGGATACTGTTGATTAGCTTGCCATTGAACTGACTGAGGAAACTGTTGACTAGCTTGCTGTTGAACAGACTGAAGAAACCGCTGACTAGTTTGCTGTTGAACTGGCTTAGAAAACTGTTGACTAGCTTGCCGTTGAACTGACAGAGGGAACTGTTGACTAGCTTGAACTGACTGAGGAAACTGCTGACTAGCTTGCTGGAACATCAGAGCTTGAGGACTTTGGTGCAGATTACTCCACTTTGGAACAGCATGACAGAAAGCACAGAACCAAACACAAAGTGCCAGCGTCTGAGCAACACACCAACTCCCTGCCATTGTCCAACAGCTAGTCACACTGTTGAGATGCTGCCCTTTGGTTTTTTGTACTCTACCGATTTTGGCTAATTAACGATAATCCCTCCCCTTTCATTAACAGTCATGATTCTCCAGACTTGCATGAGTGTGGAGTTTATCCAACTGGGTGTTTCCATTTGTTCCTAAGATTCAGTTGTCCTTGTTTTCCCACCCTTTTTGAACATGCAAAGAATGCACATATTGAGCTTGATGCGGAAAAGTTTACTAGTACTATTTCTGCCATTCAGAATTCGGCCTTTGTTTTAAATGCTTCATCCTGCGAATATAATGGTGGATGTTTTGGCTATTCTGGCCTGTGTATTCAGATTGACTAAAGAGTTTGACATGCAGGATTATGTTTCAATGATATGGAAGACTTTATCAGCAAGCAATAGCTGCCGTATTCTTAAAATGATCTTGCATTTCTACTATTATGCTCTTATATTGTGTTCATGTTTTTGAAAGCTGCATTCATTTGATCAAAAATACAGTACAAAATGTGAAATATTATTCCAAATTAGAGTAGCTGTTGTTTTCGTAATAATAGTGTAAAGTGTCATTTATTCTTATACTGGCTAACGCCAGACCACATGTTCATTTTCTCGTATTTGAGGCGTGGTTCACGAATGCCCAAAGCCGTATTATTGGGTGCTACAAATGTCTATCAAATGCGCCTGTGCTTCCTCCCCATTCTGTGATTGTTTCCCTATTTCTGGGAAAAATTTGGTTCATGGTGTCCAGGCTTCCTAGCAGCGTGAATAAAATCGTCCTGCAGCAAGGCAGCATGGGAAAACCCAGGCTAATTTATTCCTGTGATAAAAAGTTTTCAGCATCATTACTCCAGTCTTCAGTTTCACACGGTCCTTTAGGAATCATTCTAATATGCTAATTTGCTGCTCAAGAAACATTGATTACCAACAATGCTTTGCCACAGTCTGCCAGCATTGAGTTTGTGACTTAGATTGCAACTCACTTCCCTGACTATGTTCATTGTGGTCTGTAGATGCACACGAACAAGCGTCACAAGACTTCTGGAAACGGATTATTTCAATGCAATGAAGGGATTTAAAAGCCCTTCACACAACAAGTAGGGCAGCACAATGATGGTTAAACTGATAATCATTATTATTCTCATTTGAGACATTTCTTTTATCCAAGTTATGTGACTTTCATGTGAACACAAAAATCAAAAGAACATTTACACATATGCAGGGTCTATTCACCAGAAATACTCCAAGTCATAATTCCAAGAAACTCACAATTGTGAAATAAGTCACAATTACCATCATGTTATTCCTTGGCAAAATAATCTGCGAGAAAAAGTCTGCACCCTGCTACTGTATATAAAATATTGAGCTTTACAGAAGCATAGGAACCCAGGTTTGCAACTGGAGCTTGCCTAGAAGTTCAGTGAAATGGCTTAGGCAGAAGTTTGGCTTGTTTAGTTCAAATCAAGCACCAATCAGAATGAACAACCTTGCTAAAGCACAAATGGAACTTTAGTTGTGTGGCCCAGTAAATAAAACCAAGAACAGTCACGCAAGAGCCGACTCATTGAACATCAACACCAATTTATTAAATCTAAATTGACATGACCAGGTTAACTTCTCCACTAGACACCACAGTTTGCCCACTAGAGATGGTCTTGATGGGAGTGTCCCTTCCTGTAAGAGAAGAAGTGGTAGAAGCATGAGGAGCACTTAAAAACCAAATTCCCACGGTTCCCAAGTCGGTTTACAGCAAGCACTCACTTTTCCTAGTGCAGCTTTGCTCACAGGAGCCAGAAGAGGGATGGCACACTGCTGTACTACAGTGGATGAAGATCTAACAGAGGGAGAAAAGGTTTAGCCATAGAATTCACTATAAAAAGCACTAATAATAAGGGTTGAGGTAAGGCTGCGGAGCATACGGTTTCCTGCAGAGGAGCCAGTGACGATGGATCAACAAATGTGAACATCTTCACAATAAAGCGCTTGTAGTGGGTTGGGAACTGAAGACCAGACGATCCAGTCACTGGAACCAATGTGGTCAGGTAACGATCATCCTGGTAAGGGCATCTGAAAGGAAAAGAGGGAATCAGAAACGCCTTACAGCACACTAGATGGACAAAGACTGGCCTTACTCACCCATCAACCAGAAGGTCCCACTGGGGTAGACTGAGTGGACTGGGGGTTGACGTCGCCCAGCAATGTCCCAGCATCAGGACAATGTTGGGGTCGGTCCTCTCCATAACGTGCACCTCAACATACACAGGCTCCCGCAGGACTTTTGTAACAGGATAATCAGCATCACTGTAGTAGGAAGTGTACGCCTCGTCCCCTGAGGAAGAACAGTGTTTAACCAGAAACCACTGCAACCTGGAGCTTTGGAAAAGCTTTAGGCACACACTTGGGTCAAATACTTACCTTCTGCACAGCCTTTGGTGACACACTGACCATTTGCTAGCCTAAGCTCCACCCTGAGGGGTCCAGGAGCAGCTACTGGTGGAGGTGGAGGAACAGTGTTGACCTCCACAACCAGAGCTTCCACAGAAGTACCAGAGTACCTACACTGGAAGAGAAGCCTGGAAAACAAACAGTGAGCTTGTAGCATTTGCCAAGGATTAACAAACCTGCTGAAGCATACGTCACCCACTCAAAATGGCTGTCCCTTGTGATGGAACCAAGTGGTCCGATACCCACTTCATACGAGGAGGTCATTCTGTTTTCATACACCACATATCCACTGTCCTCCTGCAAATAGTAACACTGTTGGCATCCAGTCCACTTTAAGCCATGCAGAACAAAACCACAAGCAGCTACTCACCATCATGCTCGTGCCGCACGCAGTGACAGGGAACTGGTATATAGCAAAGAAAGGCGTGGATCCCACAGGACTGCAAGCTGGATCATCTCCACCCAGGAGACGGACTGAATCCAGGCTCAAACGAGGCAGCGTGACATCTCTAGCCACCACGACCACAAACTGACCATCTCTTATACACTGGACAGTCACTGGAACAAGGTACAAGAGCTGGTTATTGATGAGGATCGGTTTAACAAGAAACACCTTTACATTGACTCAACACTCTTACCAGCCTTCCCATAGTAACACTGCTGTCCGTTAAAGCAGCAGTTAATAGCTGCACACTCAGCACCACTGATACCAGGTGGTCCACACTGGATCTGCTCATAATCAGCAACAGCACATTTGTCAACGGGCTCTGCCTTTCCCACTGGCTGTTTCGGCTGAAACTGCTGAGGAAACGGTTGACTAGCTTGAACTGACTGAGGAAACTGTTGACTAGTCTGTTGAACAGACTGAGAAAACTGTTGACTAGCTTGCTGTTGAACAGACTGAGGGAACTGTTGACTAGCTTGCTGTTGAACAGACTGAGGGAACTGTTGACTAGCTTGCTGTTGAACTGGCTTAGAAAACTGTTGACTAGCTTGCTGTTGAACTGGCTTAGGATACTGTTGATTAGCTTGCCATTGAACTGACTGAGGAAACTGCTGAGGAAACTGTTGACTAGCTTGCTGTTGAACAGACTGAAGAAACCGCTGACTAGTTTGCTGTTGAACTGGCTTAGAAAACTGTTGACTAGCTTGCCGTTGAACTGACAGAGGGAACTGTTGACTAGCTTGAACTGACTGAGGAAACTGCTGACTAGCTTGCTGGAACATCAGAGCTTGAGGACTTTGGTGCAGATTACTCCACTTTGGAACAGCATGACAGAAAGCACAGAACCAAACACAAAGTGCCAGCGTCTGAGCAACACACCAACTCCCTGCCATTGTCCAACAGCTAGTCACACTGTTGAGATGCTGCCCTTTGGTTTTTTGTACTCTACCGATTTTGGCTAATTAACGATAATCCCTCCCCTTTCATTAACAGTCATGATTCTCCAGACTTGCATGAGTGTGGAGTTTATCCAACTGGGTGTTTCCATTTGTTCCTAAGATTCAATTGTCCTTGTTTTCCCACCCTTTTTGAACATGCAAAGAATGCACATATTGAGCTTGATGCGGAAAAGTTTACTAGTACTATTTCTGCCATTCAGAATTCGGCCTTTGTTTTAAATGCTTCATCCTGCGAATATAATGGTGGATGTTTTGGCTATTCTGGCCTGTGTATTCAGATTGACTAAAGAGTTTGACATGCAGGATTATGTTTCAATGATATGGAAGACTTTATCAGCAAGCAATAGCTGCCGTATTCTTAAAATGATCTTGCATTTCTACTATTATGCTCTTATATTGTGTTCATGTTTTTGAAAGCTGCATTCATTTGATCAAAAATACAGTACAAAATGTGAAATATTATTCCAAATTAGAGTAGCTGTTGTTTTCGTAATAATAGTGTAAAGTGTCATTTATTCTTATACTGGCTAACGCCAGACCACATGTTCATTTTCTCGTATTTGAGGCGTGGTTCACGAATGCCCAAAGCCGTATTATTGGGTGCTACAAATGTCTATCAAATGCGCCTGTGCTTCCTCCCCATTCTGTGATTGTTTCCCTATTTCTGGGAAAAATTTGGTTCATGGTGTCCAGGCTTCCTAGCAGCGTGAATAAAATCGTCCTGCAGCAAGGCAGCATGGGAAAACCCAGGCTAATTTATTCCTGTGATAAAAAGTTTTCAGCATCATTACTCCAGTCTTCAGTTTCACACGGTCCTTTAGGAATCATTCTAATATGCTAATTTGCTGCTCAAGAAACATTGATTACCAACAATGCTTTGCCACAGTCTGCCAGCATTGAGTTTGTGACTTAGATTGCAACTCACTTCCCTGACTATGTTCATTGTGGTCTGTAGATGCACACGAACAAGCGTCACAAGACTTCTGGAAACGGATTATTTCAATGCAATGAAGGGATTTAAAAGCCCTTCACACAACAAGTAGGGCAGCACAATGATGGTTAAACTGATAATCATTATTATTCTCATTTGAGACATTTCTTTTATCCAAGTTATGTGACTTTCATGTGAACACAAAAATCAAAAGAACATTTACACATATGCAGGGTCTATTCACCAGAAATACTCCAAGTCATAATTCCAAGAAACTCACAATTGTGAAATAAGTCACAATTACCATCATGTTATTCCTTGGCAAAATAATCTGCGAGAAAAAGTCTGCACCCTGCTACTGTATATAAAATATTGAGCTTTACAGAAGCATAGGAACCCAGGTTTGCAACTGGAGCTTGCCTAGAAGTTCAGTGAAATGGCTTAGGCAGAAGTTTGGCTTGTTTAGTTCAAATCAAGCACCAATCAGAATGAACAACCTTGCTAAAGCACAAATGGAACTTTAGTTGTGTGGCCCAGTAAATAAAACCAAGAACAGTCACGCAAGAGCCGACTCATTGAACATCAACACCAATTTATTAAATCTAAATTGACATGACCAGGTTAACTTCTCCACTAGACACCACAGTTTGCCCACTAGAGATGGTCTTGATGGGAGTGTCCCTTCCTGTAAGAGAAGAAGTGGTAGAAGCATGAGGAGCACTTAAAAACCAAATTCCCACGGTTCCCAAGTCGGTTTACAGCAAGCACTCACTTTTCCTAGTGCAGCTTTGCTCACAGGAGCCAGAAGAGGGATGGCACACTGCTGTACTACAGTGGATGAAGATCTAACAGAGGGAGAAAAGGTTTAGCCATAGAATTCACTATAAAAAGCACTAATAATAAGGGTTGAGGTAAGGCTGCGGAGCATACGGTTTCCTGCAGAGGAGCCAGTGACGATGGATCAACAAATGTGAACATCTTCACAATAAAGCGCTTGTAGTGGGTTGGGAACTGAAGACCAGACGATCCAGTCACTGGAACCAATGTGGTCAGGTAACGATCATCCTGGTAAGGGCATCTGAAAGGAAAAGAGGGAATCAGAAACGCCTTACAGCACACTAGATGGACAAAGACTGGCCTTACTCACCCATCAACCAGAAGGTCCCACTGGGGTAGACTGAGTGGACTGGGGGTTGACGTCGCCCAGCAATGTCCCAGCATCAGGACAATGTTGGGGTCGGTCCTCTCCATAACGTGCACCTCAACATACACAGGCTCCCGCAGGACTTTTGTAACAGGATAATCAGCATCACTGTAGTAGGAAGTGTACGCCTCGTCCCCTGAGGAAGAACAGTGTTTAACCAGAAACCACTGCAACCTGGAGCTTTGGAAAAGCTTTAGGCACACACTTGGGTCAAATACTTACCTTCTGCACAGCCTTTGGTGACACACTGACCATTTGCTAGCCTAAGCTCCACCCTGAGGGGTCCAGGAGCAGCTACTGGTGGAGGTGGAGGAACAGTGTTGACCTCCACAACCAGAGCTTCCACAGAAGTACCAGAGTACCTACACTGGAAGAGAAGCCTGGAAAACAAACAGTGAGCTTGTAGCATTTGCCAAGGATTAACAAACCTGCTGAAGCATACGTCACCCACTCAAAATGGCTGTCCCTTGTGATGGAACCAAGTGGTCCGATACCCACTTCATACGAGGAGGTCATTCTGTTTTCATACACCACATATCCACTGTCCTCCTGCAAATAGTAACACTGTTGGCATCCAGTCCACTTTAAGCCATGCAGAACAAAACCACAAGCAGCTACTCACCATCATGCTCGTGCCGCACGCAGTGACAGGGAACTGGTATATAGCAAAGAAAGGCGTGGATCCCACAGGACTGCAAGCTGGATCATCTCCACCCAGGAGACGGACTGAATCCAGGCTCAAACGAGGCAGCGTGACATCTCTAGCCACCACGACCACAAACTGACCATCTCTTATACACTGGACAGTCACTGGAACAAGGTACAAGAGCTGGTTATTGATGAGGATCGGTTTAACAAGAAACACCTTTACATTGACTCAACACTCTTACCAGCCTTCCCATAGTAACACTGCTGTCCGTTAAAGCAGCAGTTAATAGCTGCACACTCAGCACCACTGATACCAGGTGGTCCACACTGGATCTGCTCATAATCAGCAACAGCACATTTGTCAACGGGCTCTGCCTTTCCCACTGGCTGTTTCGGCTGAAACTGCTGAGGAAACGGTTGACTAGCTTGAACTGACTGAGGAAACTGTTGACTAGTCTGTTGAACAGACTGAGAAAACTGTTGACTAGCTTGCTGTTGAACAGACTGAGGGAACTGTTGACTAGCTTGCTGTTGAACAACACTGTTGACTAGCTTGCTGTTGAACTGGGAACTGTTGACTAGCTTGCTGTTGAACTGGCTTAGAAAACTGTTGACTAGCTTGCTGTTGAACTGGCTTAGGATACTGTTGATTAGCTTGCCATTGAACTGACTGAGGAAACTGCTGAGGAAACTGTTGACTAGCTTGCTGTTGAACAGACTGAAGAAACCGCTGACTAGTTTGCTGTTGAACTGGCTTAGAAAACTGTTGACTAGCTTGCCGTTGAACTGACAGAGGGAACTGTTGACTAGCTTGAACTGACTGAGGAAACTGCTGACTAGCTTGCTGTTGAAACAGTTTGCTGGAACATCAGAGCTTGAGGACTTTGGTGCAGATTACTCCACTTTGGAACAGCATGACAGAAAGCACAGAACCAAACACAAAGTGCCAGCGTCTGAGCAACACACCAACTCCCTGCCATTGTCCAACAGCTAGTCACACTGTTGAGATGCTGCCCTTTGGTTTTTTGTACTCTACCGATTTTGGCTAATTAACGATAATCCCTCCCCTTTCATTAACAGTCATGATTCTCCAGACTTGCATGAGTGTGGAGTTTATCCAACTGGGTGTTTCCATTTGTTCCTAAGATTCAATTGTCCTTGTTTTCCCACCCTTTTTGAACATGCAAAGAATGCACATATTGAGCTTGATGCGGAAAAGTTTACTAGTACTATTTCTGCCATTCAGAATTCGGCCTTTGTTTTAAATGCTTCATCCTGCGAATATAATGGTGGATGTTTTGGCTATTCTGGCCTGTGTATTCAGATTGACTAAAGAGTTTGACATGCAGGATTATGTTTCAATGATATGGAAGACTTTATCAGCAAGCAATAGCTGCCGTATTCTTAAAATGATCTTGCATTTCTACTATTATGCTCTTATATTGTGTTCATGTTTTTGAAAGCTGCATTCATTTGATCAAAAATACAGTACAAAATGTGAAATATTATTCCAAATTAGAGTAGCTGTTGTTTTCGTAATAATAGTGTAAAGTGTCATTTATTCTTATACTGGCTAACGCCAGACCACATGTTCATTTTCTCGTATTTGAGGCGTGGTTCACGAATGCCCAAAGCCGTATTATTGGGTGCTACAAATGTCTATCAAATGCGCCTGTGCTCCCTCCCCATTCTGTGATTGTTTCCCTATTTCAGGGAAAAATTTGGTTCATGGTGTCCAGGCTTCCTAGCAGCGTGAATAAAATCGTCCTGCAGCAAGGCAGCATGGGAAAACCCAGGCTAATTTATTCCTGTGATAAAAAGTTTTCAGCATCATTACTCCAGTCTTCAGTTTCACACGGTCCTTTAGGAATCATTCTAATATGCTAATTTGCTGCTCAAGAAACATTGATTACCAACAATGCTTTGCCACAGTCTGCCAGCATTGAGTTTGTGACTTAGATTGCAACTCACTTCCCTGACTATGTTCATTGTGGTCTGTAGATGCACACGAACAAGCGTCACAAGACTTCTGGAAACGGATTATTTCAATGCAATGAAGGGATTTAAAAGCCCTTCACACAACAAGTAGGGCAGCACAATGATGGTTAAACTGATAATCATTATTATTCTCATTTGAGACATTTCTTTTATCCAAGTTATGTGACTTTCATGTGAACACAAAAATCAAAAGAACATTTACACATATGCAGGGTCTATTCACCAGAAATACTCCAAGTCATAATTCCAAGAAACTCACAATTGTGAAATAAGTCACAATTACCATCATGTTATTCCTTGGCAAAATAATCTGCGAGAAAAAGTCTGCACCCTGCTACTGTATATAAAATATTGAGCTTTACAGAAGCATAGGAACCCAGGTTTGCAACTGGAGCTTGCCTAGAAGTTCAGTGAAATGGCTTAGGCAGAAGTTTGGCTTGTTTAGTTCAAATCAAGCACCAATCAGAATGAACAACCTTGCTAAAGCACAAATGGAACTTTAGTTGTGTGGCCCAGTAAATAAAACCAAGAACAGTCACGCAAGAGCCGACTCATTGAACATCAACACCAATTTATTAAATCTAAATTGACATGACCAGGTTAACTTCTCCACTAGACACCACAGTTTGCCCACTAGAGATGGTCTTGATGGGAGTGTCCCTTCCTGTAAGAGAAGAAGTGGTAGAAGCATGAGGAGCACTTAAAAACCAAATTCCCACGGTTCCCAAGTCGGTTTACAGCAAGCACTCACTTTTCCTAGTGCAGCTTTGCTCACAGGAGCCAGAAGAGGGATGGCACACTGCTGTACTACAGTGGATGAAGATCTAACAGAGGGAGAAAAGGTTTAGCCATAGAATTCACTATAAAAAGCACTAATAATAAGGGTTGAGGTAAGGCTGCGGAGCATACGGTTTCCTGCAGAGGAGCCAGTGACGATGGATCAACAAATGTGAACATCTTCACAATAAAGCGCTTGTAGTGGGTTGGGAACTGAAGACCAGACGATCCAGTCACTGGAACCAATGTGGTCAGGTAACGATCATCCTGGTAAGGGCATCTGAAAGGAAAAGAGGGAATCAGAAACGCCTTACAGCACACTAGATGGACAAAGACTGGCCTTACTCACCCATCAACCAGAAGGTCCCACTGGGGTAGACTGAGTGGACTGGGGGTTGACGTCGCCCAGCAATGTCCCAGCATCAGGACAATGTTGGGGTCGGTCCTCTCCATAACGTGCACCTCAACATACACAGGCTCCCGCAGGACTTTTGTAACAGGATAATCAGCATCACTGTAGTAGGAAGTGTACGCCTCGTCCCCTGAGGAAGAACAGTGTTTAACCAGAAACCACTGCAACCTGGAGCTTTGGAAAAGCTTTAGGCACACACTTGGGTCAAATACTTACCTTCTGCACAGCCTTTGGTGACACACTGACCATTTGCTAGCCTAAGCTCCACCCTGAGGGGTCCAGGAGCAGCTACTGGTGGAGGTGGAGGAACAGTGTTGACCTCCACAACCAGAGCTTCCACAGAAGTACCAGAGTACCTACACTGGAAGAGAAGCCTGGAAAACAAACAGTGAGCTTGTAGCATTTGCCAAGGATTAACAAACCTGCTGAAGCATACGTCACCCACTCAAAATGGCTGTCCCTTGTGATGGAACCAAGTGGTCCGATACCCACTTCATACGAGGAGGTCATTCTGTTTTCATACACCACATATCCACTGTCCTCCTGCAAATAGTAACACTGTTGGCATCCAGTCCACTTTAAGCCATGCAGAACAAAACCACAAGCAGCTACTCACCATCATGCTCGTGCCGCACGCAGTGACAGGGAACTGGTATATAGCAAAGAAAGGCGTGGATCCCACAGGACTGCAAGCTGGATCATCTCCACCCAGGAGACGGACTGAATCCAGGCTCAAACGAGGCAGCGTGACATCTCTAGCCACCACGACCACAAACTGACCATCTCTTATACACTGGACAGTCACTGGAACAAGGTACAAGAGCTGGTTATTGATGAGGATCGGTTTAACAAGAAACACCTTTACATTGACTCAACACTCTTACCAGCCTTCCCATAGTAACACTGCTGTCCGTTAAAGCAGCAGTTAATAGCTGCACACTCAGCACCACTGATACCAGGTGGTCCACACTGGATCTGCTCATAATCAGCAACAGCACATTTGTCAACGGGCTCTGCCTTTCCCACTGGCTGTTTCGGCTGAAACTGCTGAGGAAACGGTTGACTAGCTTGAACTGACTGAGGAAACTGTTGACTAGCTTGCTGTTGAACAGACTGAGGGAACTGTTGACTAGCTTGCTGTTGAACAGACTGAGGGAACTGTTGACTAGCTTGCTGTTGAACTGGCTTAGAAAACTGTTGACTAGCTTGCTGTTGAACTGGCTTAGGATACTGTTGATTAGCTTGCCATTGAACTGACTGAGGAAACTGCTGAGGAAACTGTTGACTAGCTTGCTGTTGAACAGACTGAAGAAACCGCTGACTAGTTTGCTGTTGAACTGGCTTAGAAAACTGTTGACTAGCTTGCCGTTGAACTGACAGAGGGATCTGTTGACTAGCTTGAACTGACTGAGGAAACTGCTGACTAGCTTGCTGTTGAAACCTCGGGTCAGTTTGCTGGAACATCAGAGCTTGAGGACTTTGGTGCAGATTACTCCACTTTGGAACAGCATGACAGAACCAAACACAAAGTGCCAGAGTCTGAGCAACACACCAACTCCCTGCCATTGTCCAACAGCTAGTCACACTGTTGAGATGCTGCCCTTTGGTTTTTTGTACTCTACCGATTTTGGCTAATTAACGATAATCCCTCCCCTTTCATTAACAGTCATGATTCTCCAGACTTGCATGAGTGTGGAGTTTATCCAACTGGGTGTTTCCATTTGTTCCTAAGATTCAATTGTCCTTGTTTTTCCACCCTCTTTGAACATGCAAAGAATGCACATATTGATTTTGATGCAGAATAGTTTACTAGTACTATTTCTGCCGTTCAGAATTCGGCCTTTGTTTTATGTTTCATCCTGCGAATATAATGGTGGATGTTTTGGCTATTATGGATTGTTTTTTCGTTAAAACGCGTCTTGGATTTCTCATGGCAATAGGCCTTAGTATTCAGACTGACTTAAGAGTTTGATGTGCAGGATTATGTTGCAATGATATGGAAGCTTTTATCAACAATAGCTTATTTATTCTTAAAGTCCCGTGAACCGGAAGTTGCAAACGATTTTTCTCCAGTGCTGTGACGTATTTCCAAGTGAAACGGAATATTGAACAGAGGGCAGGGTTTTACTCTAGCGCTCCTCCTCTCCATCTCTCGCTCATAAGGTGTGTTCGACGGCTGGATGCAACCGATCGGCGAGAACAGCCGCGTGCAGGCGGGGAGGAGCTGCAAACGGAGACGTGAAGTCGGACAATTTCTGGTCCCCGTACTGACGGCTCACGTGATGTTTGCATGGTTATACCACAGCTAAAGTGAAATAAATGCAACATTTGCCAAATAAACAGATATTTCAGACACATTTTCATTCAATACTTTACTGCTTCATAGAGCATCTGTTTGAACTAGAATACAGTTCAAAATAAGCCTATAATCAATGACGTGAAATCAACGCTTTTTAATCAGTTTTATTTAGATAAAAATGATAAGCATGACACAATATAACATTGCGACTACATGAAAAGAGTGTTTACTGTTATAAAATACTGATTTGTGAGCTTTAGTGGAACTAAATGTATGAGAATAAACACGAAACGCACGTGATCGTTGTCATGCGGTGAATCCGGCGAATCGTGGAACAGCTGTGACATCATCAGAGCTCGTGCAGCCGCTCTTGAGAAGCTGCGCTGGCTGAGTCCTCCGGCTACTCTCGTATCGCTCTCGCGGTACTTTGATGGCATACGTCACAGTCACGTGGAGTCAGCGCTGCATCAAGTCGGACAAAATTTCTAACCGGCATGCACTGTTTCAAGTCAGCCGACGATCGGTCTGCGCAGAGCTGCATGAAGTCGAACAAGCCTATAGCAAACTAACGGTTTGAGGGGAGTGGTTAAGCGTTTCCCCACCCAAACTGTGAAACCTACGTCATCAGAAAAAGAAACCGTTCCAGACCGGAAGTAACTTTTCAGATTTTGATTAAAGATTACTAAGGTAAAAATTTTTTTTAATATATATTCACATGCACAGATTAATTGTTCACCACAAGACTAGTAATATGCGCTAACAAAGTAAATAGGTTCAATTTTGATTTCACGGGGACTTTAAATTTTGCACCATTAAAAAGACTAATTTGTATAAAAAAGTGTTTTAATATCCTTTACACACTGCAAGATCATTCTGTATAGCTCAATATTTTAGGTAACAGGGTTCAGACTAGACCTGAAGTAAGGCAATAATATACCTTAAAATAATTTAAACATGCACATTTATTGTAATATGAGTCTTGACAGAAAATAGCAGGATCCATTAAAGTCTCTCTTCACAAAAACCAAATAATTAATTCTCTAAACTATGCTTGAATTCAATTATTAGAGGACAACTATTATTTGAGACCAAATAACTACTCATGTGAAAAAGCATACTCTTCAAGAACTTATTAGGGCTGTTCTTGCACATATGCAATGCTCTCAGTTAACAACCAATGTGGAACCAGATTAAGAAAGCACCAGTCTACTGTTCAATAAACAATACTGGGACCACTTGAGTTTAAGGATTTAACCACGATACACCGCTCTACAGTAATTTGAAAGTGATTGCAGTACCAGTTTTGGCCACAATCTTACATACAGCTCCTTTAATTAATAGAAACGAGTAAAAATTGTGATCAAATATGAAAATATGATTAATCGTACAGCCCTAAAAAAAAAAAAAGTCACACGTTACATACATTAAATGCTGTTATTTTCCCCCATCTGTAGCAATTCTCTGGTGTCTGTTGCTGGTGCCAAGGCTACGCCCATTCCTGCCAAGGGCGAGTTTATTAATATGAATAAATGCACTGCTTTTTTCCTGGACTGAAGTACTGTACAGTCCTGAAGTATCCTGATGCAACATCAAACGATGGTGCCCCTTACTTTCCTCTCACTGGAGACAGCAAGTAAGGGAAAATCATCTATATGCTAATATCGAAATATTCCTTTTTCTCAAACATTTCATCCACATTCGTCTGTGTTTAGATTTGCTGTTGAGCTCCATCCATCTGAAGAGGTCACAGAGTATATTGCCACCATCAGCTACGCCTACGAAGATGAGGCAGACAAAGTCACGTTTAGCCTGAATGCTGAAGGTTAGAGACCACGTAACAAAATACACAACTGAAAAAAAGAGAAAATTTAAATTTACCATCATTTGTCTTTTGCTCACAAACAGGAACATCCCATGAGGCCAGAAATGTAGTGATATTGAACAGACAGCAGTACAGTATCTCTGCAGAGTTTCAAATCGATTCTCTTCAGTTTTATTCTAAAGTTTCTGCAAAACTGAAGCGTGGTGAGAATTTGACTTTGGAAATTGAGAGTGACCTAAAACTCCCAGAAACGACTTCTGTTCAAACACTCATCCTGAAATATGGTACATGTCCAGTACAAATGGCCTGTCGCAATTATTGATTAATTGTCTGATTATGGTTATCAGATCAAATTTAGATAACTGTTCAGTTTAAGTTTCAGTCTCAGTTTGCCATTCAAAGAAGGAAATATATGACCATGAAAGTATCATTCTAGTGAATTATCTCTCTCAAAATATATTCTCAGAGAGTGAAAAGATTGAGGCTGAATTTCAGGCTGATGTCAGATCTGAGATTCAAAGAATCATTCCCAACATCCTTCTTGATCGCCAGATTGGCCTGAATGAGTTGAAGGTCCGCGATGTTCTGGCAAATGCAGTTGCGGTAAGAACTTCCCTCAATTTTTTTTTTCATCAGCTTTTGAGAATACCCAAAGAAACACTGCAAAAAAAATCTGTTCTTACTTAGTATTTTTGTCTTGTTTCCAGTCCAAATATCTAAAAATCCTTAAATCAAGAACCATTCACTAGATGAGTAAAATGACAAGTAAAATGACAATTATGTCCTGTTTTCTGGGCAAAGTGATCAAAATTAAGTTTTGTTTTTCCCCAGAAAACAAGACTTATCTTATGGCATTTTACTACTTCAGTAAATGCATCTTTTAGATTTTTTTTATTTATTTATTATTATTTTTTTTTGCAGCAGCAAATAAATACTTATTAAACTTACAGGGATTGTAAACCCTAAAATGGACTAACATTAAGTAATTTACTCTTACATATACTGTATATAACATATACCCTTCTTTCTTTTTCGGACCACAAAAGGAGAGCATTTTTTTTTTTTTTTAAATGAAGAGCTTGCTATTGTCTATAAAGGCAGTGAATAGTAATCAGCATCAAGCTTTTTATTAAAAAGATGCAAAAGCATTGTAACAGTTTGTCTAGAATTCACACTCAGACTAATTGCCACAAAATTTATATTAGGGAGGGAACCGCCGGCTAAGTAGGGCTGTGTATTGGCAAGAATTTGGCAATACGATGTGTATCACGATACATGGGTCACGATTCAATATATTGCGATATATTTCGATACTGTCCATAAGGCGATATATTGGGATTATTTTTTTAAGTAGGACTATAATTTTAGAAAAAACAATATTAAAAAAAAAGACATGATGTGAATTAATGTCGAACAAGTTTACTTTAGGTAAACAATTCAATACTCAGAAAATCAAACTACCAGTTTGGGATTGTGGTTCACAGGTTCATTACAAAAAACTTTGGTTAAATGTGTTTTTAGAAGTTGGTTATAAACTGGATAGACTAAGGGGGTCGCACACCGGACGAGAAGTGCAGCGCTGCGCCACGTAGGACAACTCCAGGTATCCCACACTGGACGTGCACTTTCTCATCAGTGTATGGCCAGCAATATTGTTATGTTTAATGACATGAAATGAAGGTAATGTCTGTTCTATGTTATGATTGTACCGTACAATAAAATACAATCGTTGTTAATCGTCGGTGTGTGAATGAGTGTGTGAATGGGTGAATGTGAGGCTAATGTAAAGCGCTTTGGTGGCCATTAGGTCTATGAAGGCGCTATATAAATGCAGTCCATTTACCATTTACCATTTAGTCTGCAGTCTGAAAACTTTACCTCAGAGCATCCGTTCACTGAATGAATTGAGAATCTTAGCTGAAAATCCAATAACATCAGCAATTGTCATTCAAGCAGCTGATTTCTGATAATGGATGCAAAACTAAATGCATATTGCAGGATAGGGCGAAGTCAGGATACATTAGCAACGATTTGAGACAAAAAATAATTAAAATTTTATATAAAACTATGTAAATTCAGCAGGATTTTGAACACGGCCCTGAGCCGTTGCTGGGCGCCGCAGGTAGACGGCGAATGGCGCCGCCGGTGTACACTCATAGAGAATAATGTGTTCGAATTTTAAAGATGTGGTGCTGAGCTTCTCGTCTGTTGTACGACGCCCTTATAGACTCTCCGCCGAAACCCCCGTTTCACTGTTGCTCACGCGACGGTCCTGCTCGAGCCTCGACGCTTACGCGCGGCTACTGCTTGCGGTGTGAATGAACGCACTCATTGATTAACATGCCGAAAGGAATAGAGCAGGAGCCGGTCTTGACACGGGGTTCAGCCATAGCTATGTTGTTTCTAGCAAAATGTTAGGCTAGTGGTGCGTCTATGCATAGCCACAAAAAAAAAAAAAAA